TGTGTTTGAGTGAGACAAAAGATATTGTTCAAAATTCATTTAGAGATACCACTGACATCGAAGAGTCTGTTTTATCGATCTCGTGCAAATTTTTTCGACCTTCCAGCATCGCCTTAAGGCGATGCCGGAATACCGACATTTGCAGTTGGAATGATAACTTCAAAAATACTGAACGGAATTAAAAGCGCTTTTACAGGATTGAAATAGACATAAAATGTAATGGGGCGAGCTATTTTTTTGTAGTGAAAACAACAAAAAATTAAAAATTACCTTTTTTTCGGGTCGTACAGCAATCTTAACCTATCATCTGACGTACACATGTCATTGGTATAAAAGTTCTGTAGCTCATACGTACAAAATAAGTAGCTCGCCCCATTCGGATTACAGGAACAAATAATACAAGACCTTTTGAGCTACGATTGAAAGCATAGAAAAAGGTTCATCGTTCCAACTGCAATTTGTGGTAATTTGCAGCTTAGCTAAGGCAAACACAGCAAAAATTGCGTCTAGTAAGTGCTGGATTTTGCAACAGATGGCACTTCAATAAGTTAGATAAGGACATTGCACGTGTTTGAGTGAGACAAAAGATATTGTATGAAATTCATTTAGAGATACCATTGCCACCGAAGAGTCTGTTTTATCGACCTCGTGCAAATTTTTTCGACCTTCCAGCTTCGCCTTAAATTTCGGGTGTGAACACAGGCTGTATGGCTCCTCGTGGGAACTGATGCCCAATTAGAAGAAGAAGATAATACTCTACGTTTACGTGTAGACAAGATAAACTATTGTATAAAGTGTCATCTATGCAAACAGTCAGTAGACTATGTAGACAATGAATTAATATGGCGTACAGGACGCTAATTTCTAGTAAATTACTAGAAATTCTGCGTTCGATGTGGTGCAATTCTAGTAATTTACTAAAACAGAAACAATCCAGCAAGAAAGCATGCATCGTGTGCCGTTGGCATTATAGCTGAGGCTTATTTTTTATCTTTGGAAAAAGAATTTGATAAACAATATTGATTTTCAACGAAGTTGTAGTAATTCCAGGTCTCAGAGATTCATACTACTGTATGTATGCCTAAAAAATATAATTGTATAGTGTAAATATGTGTATGTATGTCAAATATATAATATAAGAAATAAGGATAAGTTTTTATACTTTTCTTAATTTAATCCTTAGAATCTTTATTAATTTGCAAACTTTTCTTAAAAAATTAAATTAGAGTCCACAATTTATTCATTTAATAAATACATATAATTTAACGTTAATGTAAAAAAAACTACCATTTGAGTAAGAAAAATTCTCTGGTTACATTCTTAATCTTAATCTCGTAGTTAAATTAATGTTCAAAATACATCAAGAATATCTTAAAGATGTCATGGTATCTTTAGCCTGTTCCTAGATACATTTTGGACATTTCTACTGTGGGTAAAGACTGTTTTATAATTTAATTTTTTATATTGTATATATATATTAGTGATATAATTAACAATAGTCTACATAGTTTACAAGTCTAGATTGTCTACGTAGCAAAAAGACCATGTAAACATCACGTAGATTTCACGTAAATAATCCGTGTAGACGTAATCTTGAAATCTACGGCGCAACTTTGTACATCGTGAGCAATGAAGAAACTTGTGGCGAGCGTCAGTTAAAATAAAAAAACTCTATCGAGCGCATTTCTTTGGCAATACGAATGTTAATTTGAACGTAATTATAGTGCTGTAAATAATATATGAACAAATATAAGATTTCTTATTATATTCGGGCCGTATTTTTTACGGGATCGTCATCGGAACCGAGTTAAATCTCTCTTCTCCATTCAGTCTATTCATATTCTAATGGTAAAACCGTGAAAAAAGTTGCAAATTTTTCCCCCATCCTTAAGTTATCTATATTCTTAAATAATTTAATCTTGAATAACAATATTGTGAGGAATTGCTTTTTCTGCTTTTACTTTTCGGACAAAGACAAACTTAAAGATTAAAGGCTAAAGGCTAAAGATTAATAGATGGAAAAGTAGACACCTACTTTTCATTCAAGATTCTATTTCTACTTCCTCTAAGAATGTCTATCGAGTCAATATAATGAGTGTCTATGAGATCACTCTTTTCAATAAAACTTTTGTGCAAAAGAAAAAAATTTCTTGAAATCAACATTTGTCATTCAAAACACCACCATGTTTAACGAAACGTGCGTTTCCTCTTTTGCGCTGTTACAAATCTACTATCGTGTATTTCTCAATACGATTAAGGGCCCTGCCTAGTCACTGCGGCCATATTGGACTCGTGATGTCAGAAGCGAGAAACAGCGAGAAATGACACATAAAAGTTTCTTGCGTGCCATTTTTAAATAAAGAAGATTTGGATAAAATTAATAAATAGAATCGCTTTAGAAAACTTGTAAAATAACCTTTTCCTCCCTGAAAGTCAGTAAATAGTCGTAAAAAGCACGTAAAATGAAGTTTATTCAGACAAGAAAACTCACGACAGCTTGTTGACTTTGACAGCACTTTGACAGCTGTTGAAAGGAATGGAAAAGATACTTTTACGTATAAAATTCGATAATAACTATAGTTTACACCCATTTTTACGACTTTGATAAATACAAGACAAGTCATTTTCACAATTAAGCACATAATAACGAAATGACACGCAAGACAAAATTCGTTGTTAACACTTCTCACAGTAGGTCCGTTATTTTCTTCAAGTCGAGTATTCTCTTCATATTCGACTGTAATTGATCAATTTTACACTGCTTACGATATCGGCATACAATATATTCTGTAGAATTATCACGGTTTATGACTTAAAACACCGATATATGACGTATTATAGAACGGGTCTAATATAACAAGAAGCTTCTAATTTCTACTGCGATATATAGCGTTGCCACCGTCAACGCGGAGTTTATGCTGACTAGGCAGGGCCCTTAAGAAAACGACTTAATAATACGACGGAATTAATTATAATATTTAATAGAGCTAAAGATTGAAAAAGCTTCGTAAGTCAATATAATTAAAGTAGATATTAAAAATTTAGCGAGAATCCATTTTTATTCATAATTTGATTTGTTCGGAACAAGTATGTAAATAATAATAGTGTTATAAAATGTGTGTAAAATGAATATTATATACATAAATATTTTAAAATAATAATATATAGACAAAATTTGATATGCTGCACAGAATTTATGGATGTATAGTACATTGTACAGATACAATATATACATATAAAAAATATATTTTAACTATAAAAAAATGTCTTTCCTCAAAATCAAATCTTTAATTTCTTTCTTCAAGTTTCTTTTTCATTAATATATTCATATTTTCCTATTTAACTATTTTTTATATTGATCAAAATCAAGTATATAGATTCAAATAGGTGCTTCAATCCAGAAAATATATTTTTTTAAATTTCAAAGCTCATTGCAGAGAAATCGGCAGTAACGTTATTTTAGTTAATATTGCAACATGTGTGCATACACGTTCAACTATTTGTATTAGCGAATTCGGTTGGACGTATTAAGTAGTGTACACTGATGCATGTTAATTCTTTCGTGGTCACGCGAGATCCACGAAAAAAGGCTCTATATCTCTAAGTTCTTATATTTCGAAATAAAACTTGATCTGTCATTTACATGAAGTTCAAAATATCCTCTTTGCGTTTAGACGCTAGATATTGATCCCAACGCGTTAGGCTGCATATAGTGGCCATTCGCGTAACATCGTTTTTACGTTGAAGTCATTCAATGTAACATGACTTTTTTTTCTGAAAATATCTGTAGAGTATATAAATTTTTATTAAAAATTAAAAGTTATGATTTTTTTTATAAAGAACTCATTTTTCGCGATTTTTTAAATATATT